TTGAAACCTATCAAAAGTGTTCAATCACCTCAACTTCTCAAGCTGCTCAAAATATCAAAGTTCTGCTGCAATCAATACTTCTATTCCAAGTTCAACTAAATCACAACAGTTTCAGGAGTTTTCGTAAGAGAAGCAAACTTTAAATAGATCGATTTTCCGAAGTTCTCTACCCCGCTACCTGTCTCTCTTTCTCCCAGTTATTTGTTTTGTAATCAGCGCTATCAAGAGCAAAGCACGTTTGAGCTTGCAGAAGACAACGGTGACAACAAAAACTATGGGGAAGGGAGGCGGTGGTATGGGGGCAAGGGGCAGTTACAAAGAAATGCTGGCAGACGTGTTAAGCGCCTTAAAGTATGCAACGACAACACTGCAGACACAGGGCCAAGACACGTGTGTCATTAGCACCGAAACGGGAGCTGGCTAAGCAACAAGCACACACGCACAGCTCTCAGACTGAGCTTGATGGACAATTGTAGTAGTGGGCGTGGCACACACACACACACATACTGTGTGACTCTAGCTGCTAGCTGGCTGACTGTCCGGCATGGCAGTCATAATCGTAGCGCTTATCGTTAGTTCTGCTCTGTTCTATTTGCACCGAACTTCATAAAGGTGTCTCCCCAGAGAGGTGTGCTTCAGGTTGAGTTGTGAGTGCTATACACACACACTCCCTCATCCTCTTCTGCTCTCTCTCTCTCTCTCTCTCTCTCTCTCCCTTTCTATCTCAATCTGGTCTCCGTTTCTCTGCTAGCTTAATTGTGCTATGGGGAACGCTTAGCAGCAGCCACATTGACATTGTTTTTGTCCAGCAGCTGCCACGCCCTCAACTTCATTTGCATTGCTTGACTTTTGAGCCAAGAAATTTGCTTTCATAAAATCTATTTTTTATGCTGGTCACTACAGTCTAGTCGAAAAGTTTCGCTCCAAACCTAATTGCTTACCGAAGTTGCACAAGAAAATCCACAAAAGTTTTATTTTTTATAAAGCAGCAAATTGAAATTGTAAAACACTTGAGCAACAAGCAAATTATTTAGCTAATATAATTATGAATTTACATATTTAATAGTACTACAGGAGAAATATACTGGGGCATACGTATATAAAGTGCTTCTGCTCAAAGATATTTCTTGATATTAAATTGCATGACTTTTGCTTTTGCGCACATCATTTGTCAATATGTACGTATACCCTGTAAAGGTGTTTTTGTTGTTATTCTTATTTTCCTTTTTATTTTTATAAATATTACAACGCCTTGCACTCTCAAACGCTGTGGCTCATCTCCGTTTCCGCTTTGGTATTGGCAGTTGGCGCTCTCGCGTATCGATTAATTGATTGATGAACATGCTATGAATAGCAGATGAAGGTGATGTTATTACACATAACATATGAAGCGATAAGCAATACACACCAATACATACACTAACACATGCACACATACATGTGTGCAGCCTCAGCATTGCATGAATGGTTTTTTTTTTTTCTTTTTCTGCGCGCGCTCTATAAAAATTTGAAGCAAGCTATGGAAATGGCACAAAGGCATATACATACATGCATATATGTATGTGTATGTTTGTCTGAATAAACGTGCTAGGTGCCAGGCACGTGAGTGCTGAGAAGCAAAGCAGAAAAAAAAATCCTGCTCTTGGGGTAGCGGCATGAAAAATTGTTTGTATTGCATATTTTTAGGGGCTGACGGCAGGGAAGCGGCCAAGCGTGAAACATGTTATCGAAGCGCTTTTAATGGAATTAATGCAGGGAAAGAGACCAAGCAGACACCCATACAGACATACACGCACACACACACGCACTCACACAGTAAAGGCAGCCTAAGGAATGCAAAATGAATTAAATTTAAGGCTCAAACGAAAAATCCTTTGATTTGCTTTAAGGCTCTTGCCTTGTTGGAGCTTCTCTGTCTTTATTAAGCCAGCTTACAGCAGGTGCTGAATCCATTGGGCGGCACACGGCTTAAATTTCATTAATTTCTTGTAATTCGGCTATTAATTAAAAATCAACAGTTACTTTGTGTTTGAGCAGCTGCTGTCGAATGCTCGACGAGCCGAGCAGGAGTTG